CACTCACAGTGAATAAAATAACCCGACGTTTGGATTTTCTACTCCTTACATAAAGCTCTTCTCTGCGGTGGAAGTCAGTCTGACATTCGGAGAGGACGACAGTGTGGCCCCTTCTTGGGTCCCTGGATTTTCAGAATACAGGTCATTGAAGCAAACCCACCTGATTCTGCCCAAAGATTTCAAAGTAAAACTTTCTGTTTTAATCCATATAACTTGAGAGCTAACTCTTGGGCAACCCCTTTTAAAAACCAAGCTATACACAAAACAGAAATTCTATCTAAGTTCACCTAAGGATCTCATAAAAAATATAAGTCCTTTGTCTTATAAATCTTTCATCAGCATTTCCGAAGTTGAGCCTTCTAAGTATGTATTTTTGCAAAGATTCCGGTTAATTCTGATGAATGCCGACATATGGGCTCCATTTATTCAGTGGGAAGATCAGAAAGAATGAGGATAGTCACTGGACTTATGTTCATATTGAATGACTTAAGAAGATCAGAAGGTTTGGATCCCCAACAGGTTTCGCATGAATACAGCTTATTATCCGTAGACAGAAAATAAATATTCTGAATTACTGCACCGAGGAGCAGCAGAAAGCAGGCAGTCGAGCTAAGAAGGAGAAGTTTGTGAAAACTTCTGCACTAAAACTGCACATTTCAGGCCTGTTAAAACCACACAACAAGCTCCATATTTGCATGGAGGTGTCATTGGTGATTTCATTTCCACTCTGGTTCTACGAGTGAAACCTCTATGTTCACCTTATAGTAGTTAGCTTCTCCCCAAAAGACGTGAAGGTATAGAATTTATAATGGCCCCAAACGTCACTGTACTGAGATACTGGAGCACAGTGGAGAAACTGAGTGCCTGTCAGCTCCTCTTTTCTTCCTAAGATTCCTGAAAATCCCTGAATACCTAATTTCTACCAATGAGGGAATGGATAAATAAAGGTTAATTTATGGAAAGACGTCTTAAACAATAGTGGAAAACCAGTGCACTAGATTTATAGTTACGAACATAGATAGTTCACAAAAATCCTCGATTTTATATTCTTCTTAGCAAAGAATCTCAAGAATGGAAGAAAAAGTATCCAGTGTACTCAGCCCTACCATGAAACTAATTTATAGCTTTCATAGGAAAGCTATAACCCAATTATAGCCCAAGAATATGGGGAAAGTGAAGAGGGAGGAGAGGGGAGAGGGGAGGATGGGTGGAGGGAGGATAATTGGTGGGACCACATCTATGGTGCATCTTACAAGGGTACATGTTAAATTTACTAGGTGTAGAATATAAATGTCTTAACACAATAACTAAGAAAATGCCATGAAGGCTATGTTGACCAGTTTGATGAAAGCATTTCAGATTGTATATAAAACCAGCACATTGTACCCCATGACTGCATTAATGTACACAGCTATGATTTAATTAAAACAAATACTAGATTTTTTTAAAGGCAAACAACAAAAAGATCTACAGTCTAGGGGCGTACAAACTTTTTTCTTCTCTGCTGCAAATTGGAAAAATAAGAGTTGTGTACGGCCACACACATTAAATACAAAAATACTAATGAAAGGCAATGAGAAATTTTAAAAGAAAAAAAAGATCTGTGCATATTTTCATGGTATCTGACACTATACAAAGTAAACTGTTCTCAACTGAGAAGAGTGCGGCCCACGGGCCACAGGTTGGACACCCCTATCTACTCAGTCTGGTAATGTTAAATTTTAAAAGACACAAATCAAAGGCATTGATCGTGATGGGTATATGCAAGTATAAACATATTTATGGAAAGATTTTAAGTGGATAACAAAGAGATAAGCTCCAAACTGGGACCTTTTCTTAATTTGTAGATTGTACACATTTTGTTTCAGAATGAAACAAAAAACATTTATTTGCCTTAAATTAGACCAACTTAAAACTACATAAATATCCAGGCTTTCTATTTCAATTTTTTTTTTTCAAACTTCATACTTTCAAAGGTTATTCTGAACGCAGAAATTCTTAGACGAGAGCCACCATGCCGTAACCTGAATCAAACGCTTCTCACTCTGCCAGGGAGGACTTCACAGTTGTTATTTAATGAACACCTCTGCTAGAACACTGCCAATGAAACAGTTTTCAAATATTCCTGCATAACTCTCATTACACATCTCAGAAGAAGTTCAAACCATGAAAGAAAACCACATGAAATTTTGCTTTGCCAGCTTTGTTCTCTGGCGGATACGACTGAAGCAGCGCTGAGTCTCCGATGGCTCAAATTACTTTTACAGCTTGAGAGCCACAAGTGGTTAGTGCTACCTGGTTCCCTGAACAGAGGGTTATTTTTTCTCTTCTTGAACTCAAAGGAAAGATGCTGTGATTAAGTCTGGAGCTCCAATGTTCCGCACAGCAGTCTTTCAGAATGGGGAGAATGAGAGGTATAATACCTTCTTGAATGTATCCTAACGCCCTAAAACACTAACAAAAAAAAAAAAAAAAAAAAGAAACAGAAAAGAAACTAAAAACCTCCAGAACTGGGGTTGCTACTGCATTACTAGAAACGTATTTACTTTACTCCAAGCCTCAGTAAACCCTTCAAAAATCCTGTGCAGAGTTATTAAGAATATCGTATTTCAAACTGTCAGGCGCAAAAGTCACTCAAACACAGAACAACCAAGCCTAGTGACTAACTCATCGTTCAGTGTGAGTGTTTAGCTGGGAAACCATCGACACCGAGCACCTATACGGGGTGGCCGTAATGTTCCTAAAAGAGTGTGCGATTTTAAATCGCACAGGAATTTTACGGCCACCCTGTGTGCGTGGTGTGCTGGAGAGCAGCTACCCTTGAACGCAACTCAACACTTGAGTTTTATCAGTAAGAAGAACAAAGGACATTCAGTGCTAATAAGAAGTCGAGGTGTAAAGAGCTCCATTTATGACAGTCGTAATAACAGAACTTCCAGGAGGCCAGTGCGGGAGAATCCAAACTCACCCCAAGTTGAGAGGATGGTCAACTGAACAAAACTAGTCACAACAATGTGGGAATGGATCAAATATTCCTGCTTCTGAGGTTCTGTGTTTGTGAACAGTAAGTGACTCAATCAGCTGTGACACAAACTATACGCAATTATGTATCTTATTAATATTCCATTTTAGCACCTGCTACTGTGCTTGATGTATAAAAATGCTTGAAGAGTGTTTGGTTTTGAAGGATTATATCGCTATTCCTCCTAGACCAAGTGCCTTAGAGCTGAGCCCTCCTATGTCCACACAGCTCCAGCAGCCACTGAATCACCACACAGGTGTTTGACCGGGTACCAAATATCACACGTCCCAGACTGAGCTCCTGATTTCCCTCCACCCTTCCCGTGCCTCCAGTCTGTTCTTTTCCCAGTTTGGTGAATAGCGACTCCATACTCTGAAATGTCCTGGCCCCAAACTCAGGACACACAGACTCCTCTACATGCAGTCCCCGGGTTACAAACAAGGTCTGTTCTGTAGGTTTGTTCTTAAGTTCCATTTGTATGTAGGTTGGACCAGGTGTATTTACCTGTTTCCTGTAGTAGCCCATGTCCCCAAGTGTGAGCCCAGTGCCAGTTGGATGTTTGTAACTCAGGGATTCACTGTGATATGTTTGTAAGTGTGAGTTATACACAAGTTGTGTGTTTGTAACTTGGGGACCGCCTGTATTTCTTTCACACGCTACAGTTGATGCAGCAATTTTAGCCCAGGAATATGGGGAGAGGGGAGAGGGAGGAGGGCAGGTGGAGGGATGGTGATTGGTGGGATCACACCTGTGGTTCATCCTATAAGGGTACATGTGAATCTCTCTAAATGTAGAATATAAATGTCTTAACACAGTAACTCAGAAAAAGACATGAAGGCTACGTTAACCAGTTGGATGAATGTATTTCAAATTGTATACAGAAACAGTACATTGTACCCCATGATAGTATTAATGTACACTGCTATGATTTAATCTAAAAAAAAAAAAAAAGAAAATCTTACAGGTCCTACCACCTTCTAAATCCGGCAGCTTCTCAGCACCCCAACAACTGCACCAACGTGGTGGGAGCCTCCAGAATTTGTTAAAATAGGTTCCTAATTCATCTCCCAACTTTGGCCTTAATCCGCCTTCCCTCTTATTCAGCAGAACAGAAAGATTCTTATTAAATATGTTCGACAACCTCACTCCTCTAAACAAAGCTCCAATGACTCAATTCAATGAAAATAAAAACCCAGGTCTTTACCAAGGTCCACAGAGAGCTCAAATCTGCACAGCCCATTCTGCTCCCTGAGTTCCTTCCTCTGCGGTTGGCCTGCTCTGCCCTTTAGACATGTCAGGAACAGTCCAGCCCCAGCGTCTTTGCAGCTGATGCTCCCTTGGCCTGGAATATTCTTCCAAAAGAAACCTGCATGCCTTCCTGCCTTCCTTCCTCCCTCCCTCCCCCCTTCTTTCCCTCTTTCCTCCCTCCCTCCCTCCCTTCCTTCCAGCCTTTAGTTAATAACTCACACGTCACCACCTCACAGGGATTTTCTGTCCTTCCATCTAAACACCATCCTCTCCCTCTGGTTCTCTCTATTGCCCTTCCTGCATGATTTTTTCCTTACCACTTACAGAAACTA